GGGGGGTGGAGTTGTGTTGTTGGAGCGAGGCAAGTGTGGGTGGTTGGTGGGGGAATGGGTGGGTGGGAAAGGTGGGTGCGCCTCGCTGCTGGTATACACCACATCCACAGTCACTGCCAGAAACAGAGCAGCCAACACTCCCGCACCACTTGCAAGTGTCCCATGCACTCGCCGCATCCTGTACACAACCCAAACAAAGTCTTCCATAGCACCCCGCGCACACTGGTGTCACGTGATGCAGTCGCCCACCACTCACCGGTGGTGCTTGTCGGCGATTCCCCTGCACTGCGGGGCGCCCCTGGGCGCCCCGCTGCGATCGCGCTTGCCGCCGGTCCTCGGGACGTCCGGGGGCCGGGGCGGGGGGTCGCCGGGCCGGGGAGGTCCTCTCTGCCGCCGCAGGGTGACGGAGACACTATACCCGTTTGTCATCCAGTGGCCCGCCGAGTACCAGCCACAGCCCTCGCAGCGGCGAAAGTTGAAGAGGAGGGTGAAGAATGCCCACCCGACGTGTACAAATCAGTCCGTCTTCTTCTCCTCCCTGTCGCCCGTGTTCTTCTCCTCCTGACACGGTCATTCCGATCCTACCCACCTACACCAAGCCATTGAGGCAATCAACAATCCACACACTGACATAGGCAACATCGTGGCATCCAAGGCCGGCACCAGCAGGAGGCACGGCAGGGAGCCGGTGCCAGTGGCCGACCCATCACTTGGGATCACCCCCGACCAGGTCACAAAATCCAAGGAGCCTGACACTGAAGGACTGGACAGTACCACTGGCCCACACCCTGTGGACAGCAGCAGCGATGCTCCACCACTGCTGAGCATCCCGGACAACCCGGCGCCTTCACCTGAGAGCGGTCCAGAGGTCGACGAGCAATACTAGCGGCTGGCGGCATGGGTTCTTCTAGTCATGGAGAAGGGAGCGCAGGAGGAACATGATGCACTCCACAAGCACCTCATGGAAGCTGATTCGCCTGTACTGCCCGCTTGGTCGGCTGATACCATTCCCTACGAGCGGCACGTCAGGTGCAAAGCACGTCGCATCCGCTCCCACCTTGAGAGGGGAGGCGGCAAGAGGCGGCGAACTGTTTCAGCAAGCAAATGAGGGCCAAGATGACTTTGCACCTGGTGTGGATCCCATATTTGTAAGCGACTAGCTCAGCAACGAGGCAGGCGATGTATGAGGAGGGGGGTATCTGGCCCCTTGTAAGGGGGAGGCCCCTGGGTCCATCTGGCAAGACCGATGTGTGGTGACGGCGTTCTATCGCTCTGTACTCGATACTCTTACGTTCATATGATATTACCAGATTAAAAATGCCTCTTGCGATGCGTTCGCATCTCCTACTGGCCACGACGGGGTCTCCCGAAGGGGCGAGAATGGTCCCCGCCGAACGGGGGCCTCTCGGATCCCCATCAAGCAATTATTCGCAGTTTTATATCTTATCTAAACATGGGGAGGCACCTGACTGGGCGATTGGTATTGTCCCGGGTTGGCCGATCTGGGACCAGAGCGTAACTCGCGACTATGATGAGGCGGTGACGTTAACCCCACGTGCGTACCGGCGCAACACAGCATGCGTGTTCGGGATGCGGTCCGGCCTATAAGCGGTAGCAGGTCGCATACTTGTCGAAAAGTCATATCGCGGAGTTAATAACATAGAGTGAGTGTGTCACTGCGCCTGTGCTCGAGTGGCACTACTGTGGCCGGGGCTTTCCTCGTCAGTACTGACACTAAAGTCCGGACATCATAGACTTGCCGTCAGAGGACTGGATTGATCTCCTGATCTCAGAAAACATGGCGATGCTCGATTCTAGCTTTAGCCATGCCTGGCCTGGAGTCTCCGCGGCTGTTGGGCTTGGGCCGGAGGACCCACTTGCCTTGGCAGAATCCCCTTCCGGCCAGGGCTCGGTGCCGCTGAGCAGGGTCTCCTGGGCCAGCGACGGCGCAGGATCGTGGGACGGCACAGACCTGACCGGTCAGGAGAGCATGCCCCAGCCTGAGGAACCTGCGCTAGACAGTGAGCAGGTGGAACAACGCCTCAGGCAACAACGAGACCGCAACCGACAGTGAGCGGGACGAGAATGAGGGCAATGCTGACTCGCGTGCCGGATCGAAATGATGGGGACGATGCGACGTGAATCACAGCGCGGTGATGCACCTTTGCGCCCACCTGCTCCCGCATCCTCGTACAAACAGGGCGCAAAACAGGTATCGGCAGAAGTGTCGGGCCCGGAAAAAGGCAATCGTGAGCAGCTACGATCAGGCATGTCCCTGGAGACACCCTTTCAATGGTGGCTGCGCCGAAGGATCACACTCCAGTGCAGGCATGTCAGCGCGCCATTCCCAGGATCGCCGACCCATCCACACTCCTCACGACCCCCTGGCGCAGGTGAACGAGGATCTGGGCGCCGCACGTGCGGAGATGGCGGCGCTGCGGCAACAAACCGCGCTGCTGGACAAGCTGCTGAATGTGCGCGACACGTACATCAGCCTGCTGCAGCAGAGCAAGGTGAGGACACGGATCCGTCGATTCCTGGATGTGTTGAGTGGAGGCCTCTCGTGTCCATCCAGAACCTGGTTTGGGGGGGAGCTCTGTACATGTGGAGTTTGGAGGAGGGAGATGCTCGCGCATTGTGCCAGCAAGCGCCAAAGGAGGAGGCAAGCCGCTCTGCAATCCATGCTGGCCGGTTGTGGTGTTCTTCGGCATCCTCTCGCTGACGCAGCACTCCCCTCGCTCCATCCACCCAGGACGAGCTGTCCCTCACCGGGTTCAAGCCCAGCTGTCGTGGCTGCCGTGAGCTGAGCGAGCCCTTGCTGACGCCCGGCCAGACCGTCGTCCTGCACTGCGCCTGCTACACCGGCGAAGCCGAGCACTGGAACCCGGACCTGCACTTGACGCAGAGGTGCGCGGTAGCGGCAGAGGTGGATGGGGGGGTGATGGAGGAGGACAGCCGCCTGCCCCAGCCTGCAAGGAGGGGGCCACACAGTTCAGGACCCAGCGCTGTGCGGCATCGAGATCCGGCGCACCTGTCGCGAAGTCTTGAGCAGGGTGTCCATGTGATCCCTGCCCCACCTGCTCCTCCCACAACACCATCCCCCTGCATTCCTGCTGCAGCGAGCAAGCAGCTTTCAGGGCCCAGGGTGTGGGGGGCCTCCAGCAGGTCTGGCAAGAGGCCAACGACCGCGTCCAGGAGGCCGCCCAGGATGTGGCCGCCGGCGTGGGCGGCGCGGATCTGGTGGATGAGCTGATGGCGAGGATGCTGGCAGGGGTGAGTCCAGGGTGCTTGTTGGTTATTGTTGGTGTGTCTGCATTGAGGGGAAAGGGGAGGGGTAGGGTCACGGCCTCGAGAAGCATCAGTGGATTGATCGCCTTGCCAACAGATGTACACCTGCACGATGGCTGGCTCCCTTCCATGGGGCACACCGACGTCGGGCCTCCAGTGCCTCATTGAGTGCCTCGTTGGAGTCCTCGGGACCCCCCCAAACAACACGCCCCCCCTACGAATCACCCACAAAGCCTCTCACGATATCCCCCGCAAACCCTGCAAACCCTCCACCCCTCCCAAAAACGCAGCGCACACTGTCCTGGCGCATCGCACACTACTTCCCCGGCCACTTTGCGGAGGTGGCCGGCATCTCCGCGCCCTCCACCTCCGCCCCGGGACTTTGGGACGCGCTGGTGGCCGACCTGGCCCTGTCGCCACGCCAGTTGGAGCGCCTGGGTGTGGTGGCCCACACCTTCCACCGCAGCCTGGAGGCCCTGGCGGCCGAGCGCGAGGGCCTGGTGAGCGGCCTCGTGGCCTCTCAGGTGGTGGCCGAGGGCGCCATGCTCCAGTTCGCCGCCAACTCCCTGCAGGTGGCTGTGCTGTCTGGGGCGGGGTTTGGGGTGGGGTTGAGTGGGGCAGGGGGGGAAGATTGAGGGGGCTCACCCTGGTGGGGACTCGAAGGAAGCAGAACAGGAAGGGACGGGCTCGCGGCCCAGGCGGGGCAGAGTCCGTCG